CCAAAGAAACCCCTCCCAAAACTCAAATACTAGGTTTCCTACTATAGCAGTATTTTACTGTTAGTACTAACTACTAACCATGTACTAAATCTTTTTCCTTTTTCAATGCAGCAAACATCACCTCTCTACCCCATTTTGTAGTCATAATTACCACAGGTGGTGGATGGTCTGGCTGTTACTTGTACTACCTCACCCTGAAGAAAAACCTTTTCAAAAAGCCTGAACTATGCGTGCTCTACACTCTGAAAGCAAGGAGAGAGTTGGTGGGATCCTCCCTCTATACATTTGAACTAGCACTATTTTTTCCCCGGAGAGAGTTGTTTTATCAGCAGTTAGATAGAGTTTAGAGCAGGGGGAAAAAAACCAACAAACCAACCCCCCCCAAAAAAAAGTCTTTAAAAAAATAGTATCTTTGCCAGGAAACTACTATTAGCTGTGAAAACCCACCTAGATGGAATAGTAAAAACTACTAAGCAAGAAAATAAAATACATTGTAAAGAAGGAGGCAGTGACTCAGAAGCCAGATGGCTACCAGACTTACTGTTCTAACCAGATGAACACAGTCTCTCCTCACCTACAAACCCACCACCACCTTTGCTCTGGATGGCTAGTCAAAGTATTAACACAACTTACACTTCAAATACACACACTTGGAGGACATCTAACACAATCATCTGTATTATACCCACCTGTCAATCAGCATTACTCTTGTGGTTAACAGTATAGACACATACATACTTGCAGTTTTCCTTTCAAATATGTCACACATGATACACAAATGGCACTTTGAACTGAATGTAAATGGAAACACATTGACCCTCAAAACACAATGAAGACCTTGGTTTTCACTCACTTTCTAGCCAAATTTCTTCCGTAAATAAATTTTTATTTATACAATGCAAATACAAGAGGCAGTGAAAGGGGATAATTTGTTGTATATTGTAAGAAAAAACATTTTTAAAGTATTTAAAGATGAGATACCAATTGCTTCTAAATGTTAAGATGGTTAATAGGACTTGAAATCAATTTAATACAATCTCAGTTATATTTTATCTTTTCTACTCCTTTAAGTACCTCTCTCTTAAAACTCAGCCATACTTGGAAGCAAAAATTCTTCAACTGAATCTAAATTTGACTTCTTCAAAATCAAGTAACTTCATCCAGTTAAACAATATGAAGATATTTTTTTCCAAACAGGCAGAAAGAGATGCATAGGGCTAACTAATGAAGCAAAAGCAAGTATGTTAAAACAAATCCCATGCCTCCAGAATACAAATAGCTGACAAAACAGAAGTGAGCAACAGAAAGAAAAGAGCACACAAACAGTGCACGGTGGACAAACCCTCAGGAAGACATAATGATTAAACTGCAATTTAGATCTTTCATAATTTTCAAAGAAAGGATGAAATAAGCACTATCAATAACATGCCCAGTCTCAGTGCTCTAGGAAGCCAGTGTAAAGACACTCACCAATTGCATTAAACCAGTTCCCACACACACTTTTTTTAATTTTCCTGCAGTGTGACAAGGCTAAATGTCTATTAACATTACTGATTCCTCTCAGCTGGTTTGGCAATATACAGGCTAAGTGCAGTCCGCTCTTTTGTTGAATGTTCAGGCTGCTTGCATTTTCGGTTGTGAAGGCAGAAAGACCCTGTTTGTGCACAGCTCCAGACTTTGAAAGTAATTCTTTCTGACATGCCACATATGATGGAGAATGTCATAATTCTACAGTCCTGACAATATCATGAAATTGAACCAATGCACCAAATAAGACCACTTCTTCTTAGTGAAACATCTAAATTTTTTGAGCTCAGGCTGTGCAATTTCTCATTCTTTTCTGCATGCAAAATGTATTTACTTACAGTTTCTGCTGGTTTTGGCTGGGATAGAGTTAATTTTCTTCACAGTAGCTAGCATGGGGCTGTGTTTTGGATTTGTGCTGGAAACAGTGTTGATAACACAGGGATGTGTTAGTCCCTGCTGAGCAGGGCTTACACAGAGTCAGGGCCTTTTCTGCCTCTCACCCCACCCCACCAGCGAGGAGGCTGGGGGTGCACAAGAAGCTGGGAGGGGACACGGCTGGGACAGCTGACCCCAACTGACCAAAGGGATATTCCACACCATATGACGTCATGCTCAGCATATAAAGCTGGGGGAAGAAGAAGGAAAGGGGGGGAACGGTCAGAGTGATGGCATTTGTCTTCCCAAGTAACCGTTACATGTGATGGAGCCCTGCTTTCCTGGGGATGGCTGAACACCTGCCTCCCGATGGGAACTAGTGAATGAATTCCTCGTTTTGCTTTGCTTGCATGCGCAGCTTTTGCTTTCCCTATTAAACTGTCTTTATCTCAACCCACGAGTTTTCTCACTTTTACTCTTCTGATTCTCTCCCCCATCCCACCAGGGGGGAGTGAGCGAGCGGCTGGGTGGTGCTTAGTTACTGGCTGGGGGTAAACCATGACACAGTTTCACAGAAACTAATTTTTTAGTAAGCCAGAGAGTTTTTATTTGGTTATTACATTTCTAAAGCTTCTGCACTCTTCATTAGATAACACTTTGCCAAATGTTCATATACAAGATAAAAACTATTAAGGGAAAAACTGTAATTAAACAATCAAGTCCATTAGAGAAGATTTGTTTAGGAGGGTAACATCAGCTTTAAGGGAACTGGTAGTTAATGTAGGCATTCAGCTTTTCAGATTGCCTGGTAGGAATACCACGTATATGTGAGAATAGTTAATTGTTCAGAGCATTTGTTGTCAGGTAAAAGGTGATCAAATATTAAGATACAGGACCAATCTGAAATATAGAAAGATAATGCTCTGGCAAGAGTAGCTGGAAAGAATGACATTGAATTTCTAATGGTTTTGCACCAATGAAAACACAATATTGTGAATACTATTTGGTTTGCCTACAGGAAGACTACCTTATTCCCAACATGAAACTTCTCTCTACACTTTACTTGGGTTAACTTCAACATTATTTAACACACTACTACCTCAATTCAGTAAACTTTTTGTTTTCAGAGTAACATTTCAATCACGCTTTGTTTCAGTGTTTCCCTGAATAGCTGGGAACTTTTATGTCTATGTTTAGATACATATATTTTTATTTCTGTACAGATATAGTCAGATCTGCATCCAAGATATAGTTGGAAAAATCAGAAACAATCACTCATACAAACATGTTTCTGTTTTCCAGTATTCAAAGTGGAACTAGAAGGTAAAAACAAAAGACAGATGTTGGCAAAGCCTCTTCTGGAATACTGGGAGCAAGTTCAATAACTTATGTGTCAGAGAGATCACCTCAGACTGAAACAGGTGAAATGAAAGGCTACAGATCATCAGAAATTAAGCGTTTTATCTTAAGACAAGTCACTAAAAGATCCTGGACTGCAGAGCCAACGAAACAAGGTTGAGAACTGGATTGAGACTGCTCCTCATAAATACACCAAGCCACAAGTAAATATAGTCTGGAAGTAAAGACAGGGCTCCCAGTGACAGAAGTACTGGGAACAATCTTTTCTTAGAAGCTGGGGAGAAAATACTGAATTATTTTTAAGAATAGAGCTACCTAAGTACATGTAAATTACAATACAACATCCTGCAGTGATAGGAAACCAGACTTAAAAAACTGGGCAGTTTTCTTGCAATCCTGTGGCCTATTTTTTAGCACTACCAATTAAGCTGAGTTTCTAGAAAACCGTTTCAGGGGTTATTCTCACTGGGCAATGGAGTAAGATGGTCCTCATTGCAACATTAAAACAATTTCTGTATGACAAAAATCTGTATTGAACCTTTTCCCTTTTTCTCTATAATTTCCACTTGGAAAATTATATAAGCAATTTACACACACGTAGGAATTTGTATACTTCTGTAATAGGACATACACATATAGATGGGGTTTAGATACAGGTACAAAGAAAATATCAGAAGTTTAAAAGCGAGATTATTCCTGAAAACGAGTTTATACAGTAATTTACATTGGTGAAAAACAACACCTTAAATTCACAGCAGTGTTTTATAACCCCTTTTCAAAGGTGATTACACGTGAAGAATTGGCATAAGAACAAATTGTCTCTTTGGAAGAAAGTCTTCTCCTCTCTAGTTTCTGGTTTTCTAATAAACAACATGTAGCATATACTAAAATACAGACTATATTGTAAATGTTTATCTTTTTGTGTAAATATTGAGGATATAATACAGCATATCAATAAAAAAGATACGATTGCCTAAACAACATACTAAGCATAGTTGACAGGGTTTTTTCCTCTGTACAATTTGACCTGTTTTTTTTAAAACTTACACACCATTGGTAAAACATGTAAGCACTAGCTACAAGAATTCACACATCTCTACTATGCTCATGATAATTATACACCTGATAAGTGGTTTTATTAAAAAAAAAAAAAACAAACAAACCAAACAACCACTAGTATATGACCGTGTCACTAAAAATGTAACCACATTTCATTTTTTTAGTGTGGAGCAAGCATGGCAAGTGCATACACATTAAAGTGTTAACAGCTCACATAAAGGTAATGTTATTCTCTACATCTACAATTCTCTACCTTTCAAAGGAACTTAATGGCAAACCAATGTTATTTTCCAGACCATGTGTCTTGTTTTGTTCCCTGTCAAGTAGACTGCTATTAATTTTTGGCAGGAAAGGAAAAATTAATACTTTTTACAGGGATAAGAATAAGCATTAAAATATTAGACTCCAAATTCTAACAGAAATACTGGTTCAAGATACCAAACACTGAAAAAAAATGGAAGATTTCCCAAAGAGCTAAGCAAAGTATGTGCAATGAGAAAGTTTCATTGATGTTTTATAAAATTGTAATAGTATAGCGTAAACTGTAAGTGTATATTGAGTCTCATTCATCTAAAGCACTTCTATACAAATCATTGTAGTAGCAGTTCAAAAACCAACAGAACCATGTGCTTAATTTCAAGCACATGCCGAAATCCTACCCAAATCAAAGATAAAAAGACTGTGCTGCTTTGGTGCCCCAGGCACTGTGATGGACCAGTTGCTACTGATTTGAATCACCTGCCTTAGCATTTCTCCAAGAATTTTACAAGTCCCAAGTATCCTATCAGAGCACTGAAGAGTTTTTTCTTTTGATTTTATTTCCCTCTAGTAATGAAATTAGACCCGTTCTGCCTCAGCCTGCATCACTGCCATTCAGTCCAAATTTCTACCTGGAATCTACAGCTGGGGCCCAGTTACACTGCTGTTTGCAACTGGGGCTGTAACACCAGCTATTCAAAGACAGTTGTAGCCCTTTACTTGTAGGAGCAATACAGCCTTTGACATGACCGTTTTTCCTTTGTTTCCCTTAGTACTTAGCACTCTCCTTGGTCTTTAGATCCTTTTCCATAATTTTGATTTACAAGAAAAAAAAGAAAAAAAAAATTTTAAAAGAATCAAAAGCTGTCTTACATGACAGGGGGACAGCTGGGGGTAGAAGTGTTCTGCTGACAGACCACAGCATGGTCATTTAAGAAAGCGGAGACAGGGTATTTTTCGCTAACTGTAAAATTTGCTCACTGCTCTGAAATGTACTTTTTCTCTCAGATTCACAAGGAATAGCCTAAATCAATTCTTCTTTTTCCTCTTGGACTATGCTTAGAGAATGACAGTTGAAGATAAGAAGGATATTTTATTTCGATTAGTAAGGTGGCAGAAGGCAACTCTACTACCAATATCAATGCCCCGTACGTAAATGCAAATATAAAAAAACCAACCGAACAAAAAAAAAAAAATCCAAACGCAGTCCACAGTCTTAAATTAGCACCTCAATAAACTGCACAGGCATGTTCCAACACACTACTATCTGGCTTGTTATTTACCTTTATTTTGCACTAGGATGAAATCTTGCTGATACCATCCAGCATAGTTGAACTTTTTGGTATGGATGACCAGAGCTGTTCTGTCACCTTATCTTCTCTTGAAGCATTAGAACATATTTAGGCTTGAGAAACTTGCAAAATTATATACTCGTACAAGTCCTGGCCTTCCATGTTTCACTTGTAACTGCTGATCCCAATCAGCCAGAAAATGCCACTTGGGATCATGCACTGGTGAAGGAGATGCGGAAGTATGGAAGATAACACTGTCTTAACACTTTGAAGTTGTCTGCTGCAGATACCTTTAAACTTTTTAATCTAGCATGTTTCAGCAAGACTGATTATTGTCCTGCTACATCATCAAGATGGTCCTCTATCGCTGGCAGTACAGGTTTGGCTTTACATACGTGCCTAGCTGCTAGTGCCAGTAGCTATCTCTGAATGTGTATTTAGTTGTGGTCATCGCAGAGTGAACCCCTGCTTGTAGCAGAACAGAAGTCAACCCTTTTTTAGGTTGGGGCTTTTTTGGGAGAGTTTTGTTTGTTTATTTGTTTTTGATAGGGTTTTTTGTGTGCGTGTGTGTATGAAAATTATACAGCTAGTAAGTTTAAGTCACAAATGGACTAAAATATTGCTTCTTAATACAGTTTGTGGTTTACAGTGCCAAAGGGCATTATAGATTACAAAGCAGGCAATCTCCCTGCATTTGCACAATGCAGATGCAGTTATGAAGTATATTCTTGTCCTGTTTATTTTGAATCTATAAACTTCTCCTTCAAAAGCTACAGGCAACTCCTTGCCCAAAGTTTGAAAAATTATGCAAACAACTACTAACAGATAGTTAAGAATAATTACAAAAGCATACTTCAAATTTTCAGCAAATGAAAAGGAAATAATTCTATTCAGGACGCTGTTACAAGTTAAACAGAAGCTACTTGAGTAATCTCTTTACTGAAATGCTCACTCTAATTTATTTGAAAGCCTCCAAATGTTTCTGAAAATGTTAATTATTTTGAATTAGTCTCACATTTGACAATTGTTTCATTGTTCTTCGCTTGTTTTTGTAATCCTGAATGTTTAAACTTTGGCAGTTTAACATCTATATTTGTTTAAATACCAATGGATGAAAGCCTCTGTATGGCCCTTCATAAATTCACATGTCACTTAGTTCTTATCTTCTTGATACATTTGTATACTTATAATTAAACTAATTTTACCCCTTGCAGCAAGAATAGCTTATTTTCTTATTTTTCGTGGTCTACTGAATTTAAATGGCCCAGCAATTTGACAACTACATTTAATAGAGATTTGCTGTTATTTAAGGGGGGTTTTGTGTGTCAATAAGAACCCAGTATTTAGACTGCCACAAGCCATGTGTCATTTGCAGATGAGTATATTACCCAACCAATGCACTACTAGAGTGACTACACTAAATCAATAATGCTTATTTATATATTACTTCTGTAAAATATATCCTTGGACAAATCTACCACAGTGATTATGTTAAGTCAAAAGTGAAATACGTTAACTTTGAATTCTGAAAGGGAAAATTTCAGCAATAACTACCTTTCCCAGAGAAAGAAAAAAAAAAAAGAAAAGATTTTTCTTGAAAGGTGTATATTTTGCATACCATTTTCTTCCGGTTTCTTTGTTTGTTTATTTGGTTGGTTTTTAACAAGTATTAGTATGACTATAGTACTTCATCCTGGAAGCATGATTTTATTTTTTTTAAAATCAACTAAAAAATAACCAGGAGGAAGAACTCAATTTCAGAGAAATTCCAAAGCAGAAGCTACATAATGTGGTCTTTTAAAATTCCAGCCTGACTGATGACAGCTGTGTATGACATTGTGCAACTCTCAAAATTTAAAAGGAGAAATTATCTGGCAAGTTACTCAACAGCATCTCTAGCTATATGAAGAAAGGTGTACAGATTTTTAATTCAGTTTTATTTATTTATTTACTATGATCCAGTAATTGGAAGGAGGAAAACAAACACATGGGGTTCAGAAAAAGGTTATATCAAAGAAGAGAAAGCAGAGGTAAAACATGACTGCACAGTCTAATAAACGATGTAGAAATCAATTCAGGCACATAAAGGTAAGTAGCTAGTTCTACTCTAGATATCACATATTATCTTCTGGGTTTCAGACGCTGCTCCAGAAGTGTATGGGTCTGCATCATATTTGCTAGTCCCATGTGGCTATCCCAGATAATACAGAGCTTTCAAAATTGCAATACACAGCTATGTGTAAGTAAGGTACCTGAATCACCTATTTCTACTTATAATACTTACCAGGTGCGTATTTAGGTACCTGAATCACACCTGAAATACTGAAAGATGCAGGACTTGAGGATTTTTTTTAAATTTATTTAATGTTCACCTTAATTTGTCAAGACTGCACAAGACCATAAACACAAACAACTGGACAGAAATTCTGACATCACGTTTTTCCAGAGAATTCTTAAGTTCTCTAGAGAGTTTCTTCCTAGACACGATGACTTTAGTTGGAAAGACGCAGTGTGTGTCAATAAGCACATTCAAATAGAAGCTCGCTCTGTTTCCTAACAAAAGTAGCCCTCGGGTGATTGAGTGACAAACAACAAAACTGGTTACAAAGAAATATTCCACACCTTTTGTTCACTCAGGACATCCTAGCTCCCTCTGCAGTGATTTCACTGTTCCCAGAGATCCCAGGCCTTCAACTTCTACAAAATCTCTCTAGTATTGCCCTAACTTGCATGGCACTGATGCTGCTTACCAGCAGAAGACTCCAGCCAACCAGAAATTCAAATTTGACTGTAAATCACTGGACATAAGGCAGCTTTTTCACAGAATGCAAAAGCTGCTTAAGCCAAACACTCCCAGAACAGATCTCACAGATCCTAGTGGACTTAATTGAAATTAAGAGTAGATATTTATGCTCAGATTCCTATAACACAGAATTTTAAAGGCCAATTAAAAGACAGCATATCTCTTGGGTATTTTACTTTTACACTTTGTATTCATCCCATTCAAATTAGACTAGAGATTACTTCACCAGCTTTGCACCTGTTTTGTTTTAAACAGACATTTATCTTCAAATAGCTCCCAGTTTTAGCTGCCAAGAATATAAAGATGAAAGACAGTTTTTAACCTCACAGTCAGAGAACATCTACCATAGAACTAAATGTATATTACATACTTGTAGCAAAGATGAAGTGGACCTAAATTTTGCAATCTGTTTTGTACGACTAAGCCCATGCTGCTCACAGAACTCCAATGAAAGAAACAAAATATTATTCAGGAAATATACCTGTACAAACTGTACCATTTAAGCGATTGTACACTTCACCAAAATGCTCCTTAAAGCCTCTGTACTGAGCTAGGAAGACCAGCTCCTAAGTCATACAAGCACCTTTAATCTGACTCCATTCAAATTAGCTGCACTTGACTGAGTTCTACCACCAGAATGGCAAATCACTCCATTAAGAGGCACTGCATAATTACATTATAGAAGTGACATGTGGTCACAACTGATTTGCAATAATAATCACCCAGTTCTGAAAAATCTGTAAAAAATGCTTTAAAAAGTTGCTGGATGGATGAAGATCTTGACAGCAGATCAGTGTAGTAACAGCAGATCAGTAGTAACTACTGTAGACAGCAGTAGTTACAGTGATGAATTAAAAGGTGTAAGTTGAAGCAGCCAAAATGATGATAACTACCTAACAAAAGGTAACATGCACTAGGCCTGATGGCAAAGTGAGGTATTTATATGTTAATTATAAAATGTGGACTCTCAAAACATGTAAGATAACAAGACAACATTTAGTGCCTAGTACAATTATGGGCCATCTACCTTCTCAAGTATAAAATATCAGAGTTATAGGAACAAAAGGTGAAGAACAAGAAAGAAGAAAAATAAAAGCTCCAATCAGGCATTATTACTAAGGTTTGGTCTACACAATGGAACTCAGGAAAATTAACTCAAATTAAGTTAACTGGATTATTAAATTAATGTCTATTAAATTCCTTTGCAAACACTTTCATCTAGGAATAAAATGTGTCCTTAATTTGGCTTGGCTCATCTTGCCTTCAAGTGAATTAAACTAAATTCACTGGAAGCCACTTTAATTATGAATGGAAGAGTGCATACAGAGACTTGGTGGGATTTAAGCTGCCCTCTCTGAATTCCTACATTTAGTTGATTTGCATCAATTTTCCTCAGTATCTTGTATAGACAAGCCCTGAACTGATAAACACAGAAGTGAAAAAATAGAGAATGAGGGAAGCTATGCTGAAGAATCCTCAGTCAAGACACTAAACCCCTGTGGGAACCATCGAAGAACAGCTATTATCCAAGAGAAGAGAATTGTTCAACTATTTTAAGATCAGTTCTGGGAAGAATACCGCCAAAGTTCAGAGACCAACTGGGAAGTATTCTAAAAACGCAGCTACATTTCACAATACATTTTCAGAAATGCTATTTATTTAAAACATCTACTATTTGCTTATTTATTTGAATTATTTGAAGCTAGAACTATTGATAAAGGACACCACTAAACCATCTTTTGAGATGATTTATTTAAGAATTAGAGGTTATAACCTATTATTGGAGGCTAAGATAAAAGAAAGTTGAAAAGAAAAATTGAAAAGATGATGCTGATTTTCAGAGCTATGGCACACTCCCACTGAAGAAACATTATGGAAAGCTAGAGACGCTCAATACCTTAAAGTACCTGGGTCCCCATAAAACGTTCTGAAACACCTACAATCACTGATAACACTAATAACAACTGAGAAGTCCTTTACTTGCACACCACCACTGATGGCAGCCTAGCAAAAAGCACAGCACCAGTCCTGTCAGATGCACATACAGGAGGATTAATTCATCTGCTCAGATGTTCTGCTGGAACATTTTTACAACTGTATTTTCATGGAGCTTCAGAGGGTTTTCATAAACATTGTTATTCTTACTAAAGAATGATTATATTCTCAGAGGGAAAAAATGTCATGCGTAAACGAGAAGTCCACAGAAATAGGGGTCCAGAACTGAAATAAAACAACAAGCAGGAGACAGAGCCTTTCCAGGTAAGGATCCTCTTCATCCCTTCATCAGGATTTTTTCAGGATAAAACATCACCATTGCTATAATGTTTTTGCTTTCATACAGGACAACAGACAAGGAGAATGAACGTAAGGCAATTACAGTGTTTCCCTTATTTTATTCACAAGGGCCCTCATAGTGTGTTAATTGTATTCTGGCAGAAAGCAGCAGTGCAAGAGGTAAATGTAATGCCTCTCATAAAACTGGAATTTCCCTAAAACAAAAGACCTTCATTTAAAATCAAATTCAAGTATCAATTATGCTTGTATCTGGGAGAGTGATAAAGAAGTAGGCAGTATTATACTGTACTGGAAATAAAACAATTAGGGTTTCAAATGTTAATCTGAGGCCTCTTATTAAATGCACAGTTTCATTAAGTAACATGCGTCTCTTCCACTTGAATATATCACTACAGAAGCAACATGAACAAGCTAGATTTTCTCCTCATTCAGAATTTTTTCCTTTTTTTTCCCCTCATTTTCCTTATTTATAAATTTTTCCTGACGCTGCAAGAAGATATTGTTTCCAAATATTGAACATATTCCTCCAAATGTCATCCTTCTTTCAAATAAAGAAGATGTGCTGGTCAAAACGCCAATCTTATCACAGTTTTCTCTCACAAAAACATGTATCATATACTCTGCAAATACATTGCATGCATAAAATTTACTTCAGTACGTAAAAAGCAAGATGTCTGAATAACCATTATCGCATATATGTAACGTGGAGTTTCATTAACTTTTTCAAGTTTGTGTTGCATTAAAAATGAAACACTTGGGCTTATAGGCACCACAAAATGCATGCAGCTCAACAACCAACACAATGAAGACCAGCTTAACCACTTTCTATTTCTTACGTTTTGAGTTATTTAGCCCCCTATTTCTACATTGTGATTTCTAAAATTAATTGTCATAGCAACAGGAGTCTAAGTCTTCATTTACAATGCAGATAATCTTTTCGATCATGTTATTCATGCATAACCTCATAGCTTCTGATTTGCAATGTATCACAGTCAACTTTTAACTGGGGGTGTAGGGAGAGGAACAGAACACACAGGTATGATACATTGGCATGCAGTGGTCAGGAAGCAGCTCAAGCTCAACCTCTACTTTACAGCAACTTACTTCCTCCTGTACTTTCATTTAAGAACAAACAGCTGCTGCTGAAAAGCCAGACTGCTAAGATTAGTTCTCCTGTTAAGGCTGCTTATTCTTGAGCTGTAAATAGATACACAGCTGATTAAAGCTACCTTTAACAAGTTTTTAATTTGACTTACTTACAACAGACTTTAAGTAAGAGTTCCTTGAGGCATGTGTCAGATGCGCGTTATGCTGCTGGTTTTTGGTGAGGAAAATAATCCATTTTTGCCACAGTAGAAGGTATGAATAAGCAAAATTTTGTCCCCTGAGAAATCTGGAAAAAAAGTAGTAGTATATTAATCACTGTACTTATTCTATGCTATTTGAATAATAATGATAACTGGCAAAAATCAACTTCACCTTTCACCTTAGAAGCCTAATAGATGTACTACTCTCAGTGCAGATAAACTACCATATACAATAATTTGCATTAAGAAGATTACTTGGGCACAACCCAGACAATTAAGACCAAAAAAAAAAAAAAGAATTATGAGTGTACAAAAATATCCTTATGGCTATCCTACGTGAAAATGGTAATTCACACTCAAAAATTCCTCTAACAGTTCTCTTTCTTAAGATTCATCAAATACAACTTTGGAAGTTTTTCTTCTCATAAGCTATCAAAATCTAAGGCACTGAACTAGTGAAGAGTTAGTCAGGAGAAGACTCAATTAGGACAGCCATTTTTTTTCATGGAAAAAAGGGACAAACGTGAAGAAAGAAGGAACACTACTTTATTCATGGGATTTATTTATTTTTAAAAGAAACCGCATTTCCCTTCGCATATAATCTACTCCTATCTCTTAAGTATAAATCCTGCTGCTTGCAAATACACAATCCAATTACTATAAGCTTCACCTTATTATTTTAAAAGGCACTTACAATCAATTTTACTGTTTCTGGTTTTTTAATCCGTTCACAAAACTCATACGCTTGTAACCGAGCTCAGCCTTATCAAAATCAGGATTTAACAGACATCTGCTCAAACCCTTTCATCATGGAAAACATTCGTTCCGATAATGCTTTTAAAAAAGGTAGAAATATAACAAGGTCCACAATTTTTATGAATTTGTGAGAATTATGGTATGAAAACCATAATTGTATTATGAACATTGTATTATTTCTTATTATTTCCTAGAATACATATGGAAATAACCAAATCTCAGTAGATAATAGTCCTTATGGAAAAAATCCCAGTTCCCGGTGTAACAGCTCAACTGTAACATGAAGTGTTTGTGAGCTAACACATAGTACTTAATAAGATTCCTAGCTTCTTTTTTTCCTTCACCGTGATATATTTTCATGCAAGAATCATACATCTGACGAAAGAATTATCTTCAATTCTTCGTTGGAACTTACTCACGAATGTACCACACCACAGATATCCTCATACAGAAGCAGATTATTTTAAAGTTCAGAACAACATAAAAAGAATAATTTCATACATCGCAAAGGAAAAATAAGCAGCAGTCAAACCACATTTGCCTATGACCCTCATCTTTATCACCCTCAGAGAACTTAAAAAAAAAACAAACCAACTGTAAAATCCTCATCAATTTACAGAAGTAACTTTTAATAGCTCTAACACTTTCAAAGATACTTCAGCTACAAGGGATAGAAATAACCATCGAGTGTGAATATGCCTCAACATTTCCATGTATACCATGTTAACAAACTGAAATATCTACACTATGAAACTCTTACTAGCTACAGGGAAATAACTAAAAACTATTATGCAGCGTTTAAAATCAAATGATGATGTTTCTGCTAAGGAGACATAACTTTTATCACTGTCCTGGAAATAATCAAGCAGTCAACATGTATTCCAACTACATATTAAGAAACAACGGTTCAAACATTTTTATAGTTTCGTTCAGCGCATCAACTGCACAGAAAAATAAACACTTTCCATCCAACACTCGACCCTCTTCTTCAGTTGAAGGAGGATTTAATGTATGTGCTTGCACATCACCAAGTCCAACCGTAAACCTAACACTGCCAAGTCCACCACTAAACCATGTCCCTAAGTGCCACATCTACACATCTTTTAAACACCTCCAGGGATGGTGACTCAACCACTTCCCTGGGCAGCCTGTTCCAATGCTTTACAACCCTTTCAGTGTACCATTTAAATGTACCATTTAAACTACGCTAAAAATTATACAATTTAGTTTGGTGTCGGTAAATGAGTGATCTAAAAGATTACTACAGACACTGTGATTGTTAGGGCACAAGGAAATGTGTGTAGCTCAGCTCTTTCTGGCATTTCTCACACACACACTGTAACTTCAAGAATTTATTTAGTTTTCTGGGGTTTTTTTTAGTTTTTATCTGATTCACTGAACACTATCTTTGATAGTACAGTGTGCAAAAACTCAAGGTTATACATAACTTCCAGTGAGATTTATAGCAGTTATTGCTATCCCTGCAAATAATTTCTTCAGTCATTCTGTAAAATGCAAGTTCTTCCTTACTTTTCATTACAAATGGCCATTCACCTGACTAGCATATGGGAGATTATAATCATAATCTGTGTAGCAATCGAACATTAGGGCTAACTTCAGATCTCAAGAACTTCATTTTGTTATTATGAATAGTCCTTCTGAAGGAGCCTTCTCCCTTCTCTTCACCCACTGAGTACAGAGCAAGCATAAGCTAAGGTTTGCTCCTGTGAATACCCAGTTTAAGATCAACCTTAAATACTGCTTACTCTGTCTGTTGTATTCCCCCGTATAGCAGGCCAATAAACTGAAGAATGCTCCCCATGTGACCACAACTTGGTCCATATTATGAATAGTCCTTCTGAAGGAGCCTTCTCCCTTCTCTTCACCCACTGAGTACAGAGCAAGCATAAGCTAAGGTTTGCTCCTGTGAATACCCAGTTTAAGATCAACCTTAAATACTGCTTACTCTGTCTGTTGTATTCCCCCGTATAGCAGGCCAATAAACTGAAGAATGCTCCCCATGTGACCACAACTTGGTCCATGACTGTGGTGGTGCATTTCCCCCCTTCCCCTGAGCCACTCTACAATCTCAGGAACTCCTGTTAGGCCTTAGCCATTGTGTAATGAGTTGGGCAGTTGAGCGTCCCTTGACCGTGCCAGGCACTCTTGCATGGCTAAAGTGGGGAGCGACACTGATCGTACCAGGAACACCGGCTACCTGATCAAGGTAGGGAACAAGAGCAGGAGATAATTCGTCATCTCCTATAGCCCTGAAGCATTCCCTACCTGGGTCATAGCTCAAGTGGAATGATACCATGGTTACCGTGGAACAATACCATAATTACTACCCCGGACCATCTCGGATAGCGGCCAAGATGGAAATTTACTGATGACTAAAGCCAATCATCTTGCAAACCTATAAACAGCAGTCCCAAGTGAGACCCTTTGAGTTCTCCTGGACCGCAGCGGGCTGTGCCTAGAGTCTCCCTCTGAGTGGGACACCTCTCAGAGTTCACAAAGTCTCAAGTTTGTGATATTCAGAGGACCGTCGGAACCTGGGCTGAAACACTCCTCGGCTGAGACGCTCCTCGAGGCTCAACCCTTCGCCCGTTGAGAAATGCCAAGACATTTAACGTGAGTATTTCACAGACTTGAGGGGACTTTTTAACCAGTATCTTTATCTAGCTATAGGCCTTTGTCTTTCATGAATTTACCTAGCTATGGGCCCTTGTATGTGAATCTATATTGTGTGTGTGTATTGATTTAGATAACTAACAATAAGCATAATCTGTAATTTAATAATTGTAGTAAACTTTATTAACTTGCTTTGTAACTCTTAAGTTAGTCAATGATTAAGTGCTGTCAAAATCTTATGATCTATCTTAAAACTGTGAATGAACTTTAGGTCACTGCTAAACATATATAACCCCTTAGGCATAAACGATTAACCAGGTCTGAGACTAGGGGTAGATCCAGCCGCACCTAGACTCCTCTCTGAGAAGGAGTTTAGAAAGCAAGGGGGTCTACTCTGAACCTCGTGACTCAACAGAAGGGTCTCCTTACCGTTAGACACAAACCGTTGTCCAAGACTGAGACTAAGATTGGAACCAGACGGGTCTTCTCTGAACCTCATGACTCAACAGAAGGGTCTTCCTTACCCTTTTGTTCTTGGTCTTTCTATAAATCATTCCAACGTATTTCTGACATGATTTTCCCTGTGTATACTTAACCCATGTAATAAGTAATAGAGTGAACCTTGCCATCGAATTCTGTTAAGTCGTGCTTTTACAAATTTCTATTAAAATCACCTTTTGCTATACCTTTGCCAGCGATTCTTTAAGCGGCCTTAAACCCACTCATTTGTGACAAATTGGCGTAGTCGGCAGGATCCTAAATCAGTATTTCGCAACAATGACAAATAATAGACATATAAATATGCAAAATAAAATTATCATTAGCTATCAAAATGTTCAGGGTATAGAGTAATCTCAGCTGCAATTCCTTTATAATTCTGAGGACAAATTTGGAATTTATCTTTTTACACTTGCACAGTCCCTGCCATAACTTCTGTGTGAAGTTAGCACAGAAAATGAGGAAACACAGATTAAAGATCCTACATATATATATTTCAAAACAAAGAACTTGATCTCAAACAGGTCTTTTGAGGGTGAGAAGGAGTCTTTGCAAAATCAACTGAGGCCACATGGCAGAGTTCTTCTTCATTAAGAATGAATATTCACAGTAACTTTCTCAGTTTTTCCCTATTTTTGTCTGACATTTCAAAGTAATCACTGACAAGGAGCTAAAGAAGCTTCCTCCAATCAGTTTTCAGAAGTACCTCAATTCTCTTCTGAGACTCTCATGCAATCCTTGTCCTAAACTCAAAAAGGATCCCATTTTCCACTTCTGCTTCTGACACAGGACTGAAATACTTCCTACAATCTTCTCAGCAGCTTAGGACCAGCCACACAGTACTGAAAACCTTCTCTGCTTATATTCTGTTGAACCTGGATCAGCATCTCCCCACAAAGTCTCTAGTGCGTGCTCACTTCCATTATTTTTGTTTCACGCATGCAATCTGAAGTAGTTTTAGGACAAGACAGAAGCATTATCTTTTGTAACATCAGCTTTGTGCTTAGTTTCTGTTAAGACACGACTTCTTCAGTGTAAGTTCTACATTCAGAACAAGGCCTTACCTACAGTTATACTGCTCAGTGGTTCTTGCAAAAATTTCATTTCGCTCAAGCGACATATGAAGGAAAAGATGTCTCTAATAATAAGGAAGCAGTAATATTTAAGAAGTGATAATGAGATCACCTGAAGGAAGAGG